GAAGAATAATAATTTCTACGGCATGCGCAAATAAATGTATCATACGTTAAGAAGCTATGTAAAAATAAATTATATATAATATTTGTTCATCTAATTATCCGTAATTTATTTAATTTTCACGACAGATTGACGATATAAAGCGGCGCGTATTGTTAGGATAAACGTTTCCTCGCCAGAGGCACAGAATAATGTCCGTTTATTAAAAAATCCTTGATGTTCAACGATTTCTATTAATGGCATAATTGAATTGATTGTATAATCACAATCACGCTAATATCTTTACTTGGAGCAAATCGGTATGATGTAACGAGAATCGCGATGGAAGGAAGGAATTACTCGTCGTGATAATAAGACAGGACCGCCCGTTCGTTGTGCAGTCGTTAATAAGGATTATGATACAGCGGAAGTAATGTGCGAGTTTAGCCGCGTGCGCGATTCGTTTGCTAACTCGCACTGGCTGATTGACGTAATATATGTCACACGAGCCGTCCACGTAATTCAAATAATTTATTTTTGCCGATTCGGAATTTCGCGCTCACGCGAAATAATTGCGAATTATAAATTATGATTATTGCGCTCACGCGTAATAAATTACTAATCCCCGCTTCTCTTGAATATATAATTGAAATATCCAGTCTGAAAATGAGCAGAGATCCAACCTTTGAAATAGATTTGGGACCTTATATTTGTCACTCTTGTGACGATAAATTATTAAATACGAGCTTATTTATTAATCTACTAACTCGTACGCGTACAGAATTGAACTCTTCAGGAAACAGAAAAATCGAGGAAAAATAATCGAAGGAAAACCGGAACTGAAACCTCAAAGAGAGTTCTCTTAATTGTAGGAAAGATTACGGAGCACTTTCATGGGTAAATCATTTGTGCGAGTCCAATTTTCTGGTTACAATGTGTTCACCCGACAAATCAACTGTCATATCGAGTAGACGAGATGTGCATTGACGTGACATTTATGACAGCACAGTCAAATCTGTCACATAATAATGGTTCGCGATTCAGATTTATTGAATGTTCAGTTCACGAATAAACGCTGGTCTTTAAAAATATCAAAACGCAACGATGCGTACACACGATCTTATCGTCGTATTGAAACTCTCAATTATGAGTACGTACTCTTAATCACATTGCATTAAAATTAATAAGAGAAAATTCCAACATCAAAATATTCACGGTTCGAATAATCTCTTATCGCTCAATCGATATTTTTTAGTTCCTTATTCATTGTTACATAAGTTTAAAGTGTCAAATTAATACTTAATTTGAATCTTTCTCTCATTTTTTATCACTCCTATAGATCGCCAATGCTCTTACTAAAAAAATATGTCGTTAATTTAAATAAACTAATAAAATTAAAATAATACTGTTGTTTCGATACACAGTTAAAAACAACAAAACTTTATTTAACTTGAGATACTGCAGTTTAAATTTCATTCTTTAATATTTAAACAGTGCTGCGTAAATATTGCATAATAATCATCATATACAAATTGCTAAATTAAAATTACTAAAATATAAATCATATTATAAATGGTCATAAGTGGAGCCATATATCATTAAAATATAAATTCTTTTTACTCCTGTATTTTTATTATTGCTCGTAAAGACAAATTTTAGAACTTGATTTTACTTACAAAAATAAAATATTAAAATACGATGCAAAATGAATATAATAATAAAATATTCGTTCAAGACAAAGATAGATATCAAGTTCGTACTTAACAAACTATTATATAAAATTCCTCGCGCATTATAACTCTTAGCATCTATCAAACTGTGTCGAAATTTATGATTTTTGCGACGTTATACGAAACAACACATTAGCATAAACTCGAGGTGAGCGATCCTTTCATCTGTAATAAAAAATAATAATAAAATTCATATCAACCTTCAAATAGACTCTTTCGATACTATTACTTTCGACATCCAAATTGGCAAAGATCTCCGCGATGATCGCGACGGTCGCGAGTATGTAACGATTGTAACGTATAGTTGAGAGAACCAGTTGATTTGTTTCTTTTTTAAAGTGAATAGACATCGGCAATAGCGTGGCAAATGTCGCTAAATGTTGCAACGAGAACGTTGTAAGGAATGCAACTCGTGAGGATCCCCGACCTAGTGTCACTATTACGATTCACATGTCCGTCTAAGAGAGTGCTCGAGCTACGAGCAAACGTACTTACATGCGTGTGTACGATGCTTTTGTAATTGTTTTGTACAAACAAAGTGCGTAGAGACTCACGCAATGTGCTCACTAAGCCTTGAATTGATTTGAATACGATTTAACGAATGCAAATTTTAATAACAGAATATTAATTTTAACTTTTCGCAGGAAAACTAAATTTTAAGTCACGCTAAATCACTTATTTATCAATTGTGTTTAAAAAAATTTGCACAAGTCCTAATATTATAATATAGAAATACATTCTATAAAAATATCACCTTTTCTAGTCTTAGAAAATATATTAAGCTGTAATAAACAAATTAAATAATTTTTTTTGCTAATCAATACTAACAATAAATACATATATAACTATTTTTTTTAATATTTAAAGTATTTCAAACTTTATGCATATAATGAATAATAGTGAAAAAAACTGTATAAAAGTTAAAGATTTCTCGATAACCGTTATTAAAATATACAGTATAATATATATACGTAATATAAAAATATACTTTTATTCCAAAGAATATAAATGAAGGAATAGTCAATTCGTTGATAATTGAATAATAAACAGTCGTGAGATTTTGCAAACGATGACCGAGTTTCTGTACCCTGAATTGGATTATAGCTTCTTGAGAATGCCTGTGCAAATGCATGGCATTGTGCGATAACGGCACGTGTCGAGAGTTAATTAGACTTTCAAATCGGCGAAGCTTACACTTCATAAGTAGACAAAAGATACAGGACATGTACATACATAAACGCAAACGAAATGATTCATATATAAAGTGAAAAGAATTTCAGGTTATTGCAAAGGGAAAGACCTCAAGTACGACGAAACGTCAGATATCTTCTCATCGCGTGTGCATGGTGTATTAGTTTTGCTATTATTAGAGACCAGTTGGGGTTTGCAAAATGACTAATTGTAAGCCTGAACACGCGACCAATTTCTAAGTAAAGATAAACGGTAGGAGAAGGCCTACCGGCATTATTCAGCGGTGATCAAGAGCTAAGCTAACGGCGTCAGGTCGAACACCCGTAACTTAAACATTCAAGGCCACGTACTCGATGGCCTTGGAGGAGACGATTTTTGCATTTGGCTAGTATCTCTTTATAGGCGCGCAGCATTGCATGCTTTCGAAGCGTATTGCTATTTTGCAATAAGATAGGATTTTGCATACAATAATTTCTAGCGTTCCTAACACCTATAGAGAATAATCAACTTGTGACAGTCTAATATGTTAATAATCGCGAGATATTGCAACATATTTTCTAGTACGACGATAATCAGATTGCGCACGCATGTAAATCGACCTCGGATTAATTACGCCCATAGAAAGCAAGGCAAGCGTGTATTTAAAAAACCGGAAGAAATCAAACAAAAAAAATGATTATGGTGTACATATCGGATATCGCTCTTACATTGTCTTTGGTAAATCGACCGCGACTTATTACTCGTTCTGTCTTATTATTTATTGTCGCGAGTGTATGCGTCAGCAGAATTTTCGCGACACCGAACTATAATACAATATTACCGTACGCTCGGTAAACAGCGAAGGCAGCATATTTCGTTCGCGATATCAGTTGACAGAAAAATAATCTTCTTTCACTACTGCGTAAGGCTTTTGTCACACCATCTGTTTGTTTTATGTCTTTATATGAGATAAAAAAAGCTTTTATATATTATCAAAATTGTTTTGCGACATGAAAAAGTTTTCGCATTTTCTCTTTAAAAACTAAAAACTTGGCGAATATACGACTTCTTTCTGTCCCTCATATTTCTTACATAATGAAACGATCTCAGACTTCGATGGTAATCTGTTTTTCGAGGCCGTAACTGTTAACAGAAAATGTGTTCGGTTAACAAAGACGGTAACGGAGTGCCTCAAGGATAACTTTAATTGCAAGCTGATCTCGAGCCATCAGCACCGTCCCGCTTATGAATGACCACACTAAACCGCCGTCGAATCCTAATCAATCGCCGCCGCAATAGAACAATATCGAATCTAAATGTGTCTTTGTTGCAACGACACCTCGTTACGATGGGACGGACGGCGCTCGTTTGATTCTATAATGCAGTGACGCGACAGCGTAATTCTCTCTTTCAACGGCAGCTCGAGTACAAACTGAGACTCATATTTACATAAATTTTCCTAGGAATCTCTATCCTCAAATATATTGCGATTCACTTTTTCACACTGACCCTGAGAGCTCGTAACTTCGACGCTCTCGGACACTTTTGAGTACACGTTGCTATTTTTGAAACACGGGAAAATCATTTTTTTATTACGTGGACCGTGACAAATGTGTAGTCGTCTCAAGGCAATCACATAAATTAGCAGTGGAAACATCAATAAATTAATCTTTTAATATTTCAAAAATTTAAATATGATATATACGTGCCCAGTTTGATTAGTCACACACGAAAATCCCCGAGAATTTTTTCCTCAGATATATATCTAAAACTTTCAAGTTATCTTTTTTTTTCTTAAAAAGGTTCTCGCGCGGATAAAAAATCAACGGAACAAAATACGTGATTTTAAACGTGTTCACGTCGATGGGCTCGACTCGACATTTCGTATTAATGTTGCGACGGATTCAAATATTTCATGGTCATTGTTACGGCTTCTCGAAGGCCAACACGGTGTTTCCGACCCATGAACAACTCCTTCGCGAAGTTACATCTATTCACTTCATTTTTTCTTTTTCGACGCGAGGTCCTCGAAGAAAGAGTGGGAGAGAACGACGAGTGTGTGGTATGGTATCCACCCCTCTTCTCGGGCTACCTATTGGCAAGGTGGCACAGGTGACTTCGTCGTTCCGCGATCGAGCCTCGATCACTCGTAAAGCTCGCGTTGGAACAGCCGGGCAATTCGAGGATCGCGAATACACTCGATCACAATCCATGCGGTTCCCTTGACCGGCCGAGTCCGAAACTCCGCACCTTCCTCGAGAGAGAGAAAGCATTCTCGGTGAATCGGACAACGAAATTCCCACCAGAGCTACAGTGAGGCTTTCCGATGACGATCGCGCAAACGCGAACGTGATCTACGATCTACGCTCTCTTGAAAGAGGCCTACGTTCGTGATACGAAAGAGTTAAACCGGCCGAACGATACTCCTGCGCGAAATACCTCGCTCGTCGCGCTCGTTGGAGGAGCGAAATGGGGACGTTTGTGAGAATTTGGGCGATTTTCAGTCTGATCGCTTTGTCGCACGCCGAGTCATCATCGGTGGAAGTATTGACATCCTCGAGTGGTCTCGGCACCTTCGAGGAGGAGGCTATACTTCGCGTGCTTTCGCGCAACAAGACCGACACGACTAAGAATTTCACTTTCGTCGAGTTAATCAGCAGCCTTGGTAATTACACGATAGACACAGAGAAAGATATATGGAGTGACGACAGGCCGGAAGTGCATCACACGAATCCGCACTATGGTGAGTGATACCAGAATTACTACGCTTTTACGCGAAACAATACAATATCTATCGACATTTCTTAACAAAATTTGCGAAATTTACTCTGTACTAAATAGGACTGTCTAACGTTTCGCCATTTATGTCCATTTCTATCAATGTAGATCAACTGTAATCTCGGTTTAATTTATTTTTTATCTTTTTCTAGTTTTAACAATTAAAAAAAGATAAAAAATTAAACCGAGATTTAAACTAATCTGCATTGGTAGAAATGGAGAAATTAATCAATCATATTTCGTAAGAACTGTGTATCTAGTGAAGATTAACATAAAAATGTCAAAAGGCAAAGATTATTCATGCGTTTCGCATTCATGTAGGAAACATGGTAAACCACTGACTGAATTTTAGCTTCACTAATTAACAGCTATTGTTCACGCGAATGTATTTTAAATCCCGGAAAGGCGTGTGCTCGAGGTTAAATAAACGGCTAAACGAATAAACGAGTGATTTTCCGGTACATTTTTAATCAAGCGGATCATGTTCGCGTGACGAACGAGTAAATAATTTCAGGCTCGTTGACGGAAGTATTGACAAGTTGGTGACCGATCACGATGCGTATTTAGCGCGTGCACCGGCTTCATCTTTTAAACATTAGCCGTTAATTGTAAAATCCACTCGCGGCAATCGAAATTCGCATCTTCGCGCGCTGTCGGCTCACATAATTAACAAAATGCTGTTAACCTTTGATCAAGCACGCGGAATGGAGTAAATACCCGCGTCTCCCGAGCGCTAATAACAATTGACATTGATGATTCGTCAAAATGTATAGCGAGGAGCGATATCGGGAGCTTCCACGATATCTTGGTACAGCAACGATCTGTGATGGGTACTAATTTCGTTCGCGTCTGTAAAAACGTGTTACCGCTGCACTTTTATAAATCGAAGGCCGTCACATACATTTATTCCAACTGCGTACCGCGCGGATGCCGATCACGTTGATTCACAAACGCGCGTAAGAAAGATTCGGAATATTTTCTTTCGATTCTGAGAATGTCCAAATAACTCCAAGTTACACACAAAAGATATTATTTCAGTCTTCAACAAATATAAAACTGTCGTCAAATGCATCTGCGATCAGAATATCTTGTATAATCAAGAATACTTAAACGGAAGATTCTTTGTATCGGCATATTTAATCGAAATCGGGCGGCAAAGAATGCATGCGTCCGCAGAAAACATATTGACCTTAATTGCCGCATACATGATGATTTGCATATATGAATTTTTTAAAAACCAAACTCTAATCAGCTTTATTTTTTATCAATTTTTTAATTTTAGTATCAGAGCACGCGAGTAGTTGATAATCTAATCATGCAATTTTCTTTACTTTTTATCTCATGATCAATTAAGGTCACATATAAGAATCATACATGCAAATTTAATTCAACTTTTTATCTTTTAACTGTCATTGCTAAAATTTACGAGACATCATAGGATGAAAGTACTGTCGATATTTCGACATACGCGATGTTCGAACGACTTGTACAGTGGCGGTATCGTACGCATTATGCCGTCGATGCACCGACGAACGTGACTGCAGTATTTGCAGCGTGACATAACAAAAGTCTTAAAAGATTTCAATGTAGGAAATCACCTCACGAAAGGTATGTCGACATTTCGGCATACTTTTAATGCAAACCATTTGTAAACCGCTGTGCCATTCGAAAACGTTAAGCCCAGGGATTCGCGATAATTTTACAACTTGCTAAATTAAAATATAAAATGTTTCGTAAATAATGTGCATCTGCATTTATGTCTCAAGTGATTTCCCGAAATAATAAATTTTAACGTTTTATAATTCCGAAAGACGGGTGCGTAATCCGAAATATCAATGAATATAATAATTCCGTTCATGTTTCATCGTTAATTCAAATATACATCATCACTTCTATATACACATCTGAGGCGGGATTCTGTAACTCCTTAATGATAGTTTCAGTATCGGACTTACTGGACCCGTATCTCGCATGCATTACTTAAAAATAAAAGGTATTCCTTTTTTTACGGTTGGAAGCAAGTTCATGGCAAAAACGCATCTACGTACAGTTTTTATCAATCAAGAACCTGTTCATGGTAACCGGTTCTGTTTATTATGGGAAAGATATGGGCATTACGGATGCGGCAAGAAGAGGATACAGGTATTCCCTATCCGCCGTATATTTTTGTAATATCCGCCACAAAACGAGTTCCTACGAACAAGTTAGTTTTTTGTAACAAAAGTTATATAGGTATCGAGAGTGATGAGATTCCGGACTTTTAACAACATGTTATTGAACTTCTCCGTCTCGGACGATACAACTTCATTTTTTATCTTTTACTTTTCTTTAAGAAACGTAATCTCAAACGTGATCTTAAATAAGAAGAATCCATATTCCATTTATATAAAGCGGTTATTTCGTTATTCTTAGATGTTTCCATGGCGATGCTATAATAAGCTTGTTAGATATAACGAGCTACCACTTACAGTTCGATTATAACAAACGGACTTGAGTTATAATTATTTTTTAATAGATTTAGCCTTTAACTGTCTACATACGACGAATTGCATACGCAAAACTATTAATCGTGGCAGTACGTGTGTGATTCAACGTTACGCACTCTGCTGTGTTAAGCGCATGAGTCATGAACACGAGTATATCCGTTAAGCAAACACTGATTTATAAAAGAAGAACTTGAAGCTGAAATTTGGAATTTAATGACGGAAACGTCATCTACTAAAAAACACAAAAATTTCACCCAAAAAAACTTTGTTGAATCAACTGTGTGTAAGCGGCATTTAGAAAATGTAAACTTTACCCAAAGACTTTTTGCGATATTATGTAAGTATATTAAAGAAATGAATGACTTACTCATATAAAGGTTACATTAGTTTACAATTAATCAGGACAATGCCGCTCCAATTATTCAATATTTCTCAATATTGAAAAGATTATGTAGATCTATATATCGTATTTACGCTTCACTAGAAGAATGACTTACCTACATATGTAATATCGCATAAGTGAATGTTTCTACCTTACTTTTTGCATCCAATAAAATTCACCTAGATAATAAGTATTGCAAAAAAAAACGTACCGATAAAAAATATCGAGAATCTCTTTCAAAAAAATAAATTTAAGAAATTACAGATTTAGAAATTTTTTGACACAAATTTTTAATATTTAATATTTCAATCAACGGTCTCCAACAATAAAAGAGTATTTATAGAAATTAGATTTATAGAGCATTTTTTTTGAGAATTAAATTGATAACATTCAATGTATAATGAATAACGTATCTGAATAACGTATAATGAATAACATATCTGAAATTAGAAGTATACTTCTATTTTCGATTAATCCGAGAATCAAATTTCAACAGATAATTATAAAATAATTTAATCTAAAACTGTCGAAAAACAAGTTTAAAATGTCACACTTTAATTATTTAATAATCACCTTGACATTTGCCTTATCTCTTTCCGCCAGAGAATGCAATTTATCTGGTCTATAATTTTAAGAGCAGCGGACGTAATAAGAAAAAAATTTAGGTCTGTCTGCGCTTATAATTAATGGATGCTTCGACTTTACATGCGCTTTCTAATTCGGGTTTCCCATCGTCGGCGGCGAGAATTCGATGTCCCAACGTGTTAAATTATTATAGAATCGAAGAAAGATCAAGAATCTCTCTCCTTTAAAGACACCGGCACAAATGGAATAAGGAAGTAAATTATAATGAAATTAGCTAGCGATCAAAGTTCGTGTGATTGTACTTTGTCCAAATCGTGGCTTGCCCGCCACGTCATTAATCGTACGTCATTAAACGAGGCATGCTGTCGAATTTCGCCTCAGATTGCTATACACGCTCATGACTCCTTTGGAAACGGAAAGTAAATATTATCGCATGTTGCATTACGCAACGCACGTGGCACGCAGCATTACCGGTGGACCGAAGGAAGGTCGGGAATGCGGTAGCGTTCAATGTTTCAGGGTTATTATCGTATGTACATAATCTGTAACAATACTTGAAGCAATAAATATCCAGAAAAGATTTTAGTTTACAATAAGTACAATACATCGATGTTATATTAAATATTTTAGATAAAAATTCAATTCAAATTTCTACTAAACTTGATTCTTACCACGTACGGAGGTTTCGAGCAAGCGACACAAGTTGACACAAGTGTCGTTTTGTCTTTGTTACTCATTGCCAAAAAAGAAAGATAGAACGACGCTTGTGTCGACTTGTGTCGCTTGCTGTAAAGCTCCCACTTTTGTCTTTCGTTCTCGGTGCCTCATTTGATATAATTAATACATGTATAATAATTTCGATTCTTGATTAGAATTGCGTCTATGCAGCAATTTAACAGAAGTTTCTATGAGAACCTCGACCTTCAGGCTGATAAATTTAATAGACTTAAAGGTATGCGTAAATTAATTCATGAGAGAAAGGTCATCTTATTAAATCAAGGTCTGTTATAAACAACAAGGTATAAACAACAATAATTAACAAAATTTTCGACGCGTAATCATATCATCAATTTCCAGTTAAACAATTCCTGATTATGATTACGTTACGTTATGAAATATAAAATGTATGCATATCTGGGTTGAAAAAGAATTCAAAAATAGTTTATTATAACATAATATGTAAGAAAGAAACAAATATTATAAATATATGCAAAAATATCGCAAAATTTACAAAATCTATTTATATATTATGTATAAAGTATTTTGAAGTCCATTTAATTCACGTAAACTATAAGGAATATCCACCTGTTTTATGTTAATACTTTAGAAAGTTTAGCTAATGTAATTTATTTTCGTATAGCTATAATTAGAAATCTCTAATATCATTACAGAAATCCGTAAAAATCCGTAGTTAAGTAACACATCGTGTAATCGTTGCCCTTAAATCGCGTTGCCTCCATCGAAAGTAATCGATAGACGGTTAAACATTACCGATGTTTTCTAGAAAGAAAAACTTTGGATATAACATAAAACGATGTGAAAGTAACAACTGATAGAATCGAGTTTTAAATATGAATGAAACATCTGAAAGTGTCAAGGTTCCATTCGGAATAGCTGATTCATGTCTTAACCGCCTTTGATTTAATATCTTTTTGGAGCAATAAAGAGTTCGAAAGACAAATGAACACGAGATTAATTAATTATCTTAGATTTACAGTTAGGTGCATAGTATATATAGCGAGCATTCCAACTAAATCATGCGCGATACATCACGTTGATATAAAAATGCATTTCGCGTCAAATACATTTTATTAATAAAATATATTACTTTCGTAAACGAGACGCTACAGCATATTTTAGAAAAATAAGAACGTTTTTTTTCTGAAAAAAAAAATTGTTTTCCTTAATAAATTTTTTTTAAATAAATTGTTAATAAAAGATGAAGATATTGAAAAAAAATATAAACTTTTCTGGTTACAATGATATCGCGATAATAAAGATAAATGTACTTGATGCATAAATATGAATACGCATTTTTTCTTTCTGATTTATGTCATTCAGATATATTTTCGTCATCGTCTTCATTGTCGATGTAAAAATTCCGTAAAATAACTTGTATGAAATAAGGAATGCGTACAAAGAAACGCCTTGATTCTTTGTTGTCGCTTTCGGTGAAAAGTCCTTGCTATAATGCACTCGAATTTGGTGGAATGCTCGCTTGTTGTATATGTCCAACGTGCGAAATTGCGTATAACCAATAAACAAGGACGCATCTGTGTAAAACGCATATATTTGCAATACACAGCTGTGAGGGAAGAGGGATATGTTCAATGTCCACGTAACATTTCGTAACGTGGCGTTGGTTTTTATGAACATTCCGCGGACACGACATTTAGAGCCGATATAGCTGTTTTTCTCAACATGTTATTCAAATATAAATTTGTAACTTGATTTCAATAGTATCGTTATGAACGATAATTCTTTTTAAATTCTTATCATCACACTGTGTTAGTAAAATATTATGGGATATGCTTTAGCGGATATTAAGTAACTTATCCCGAACGGAACTTTAATATTACACGTGATTTTTAGCAGACAAATTTAAGACGCGATTTATTTATTCGGCAATTATTCGACATCCGGCAGTGTTTGTAAATGGGATAAAAGTTGAATTTACGAACTACCAAGAAGCAGACAATTTTTTTCTAGAACGAATAAATTGTTAGTTTATTATGTTTTAGTCATCTCCCTGAGATGAATAAAATCAGCGGTAACGCAACTGGCAATGAGCGTGTTTGACGACGAGTTAATAAAGATACATAGATACGCATACGATCCTTCTGTTTACGCGTTAATTTCCTGCACAAGACGTCGTAAATCGCAATGGGGCGATGTAACGATATTTACACGACAGGTTGAAACCGCCGATCATTATCGCGTTTCGCAATGCAATTTCGTGCTTGCGCGCCACAACACGAGACTTTTGCTTAAGATCGAATTTTAATTACTGCACGTTTCATATGTAGTGCCATTGGAAATAAATGGAAATAGGATCGCCTTATCATCCACCATCTTATCTCTAATACCTGGTCGCGACGGAACCAAACCGGTTCGGCTTCGGCTTCGAATTTAACAGCCAAGTGAACGTACGACCTAACTTTACGGCTTTACGCAACGGGTGTCAATCGTTTCATTATCACATCGCTTTTAAACGTGACCCACGAAAAATCGGTTGAATCGGTTGCAATAACGTAAAGTGAAAGAATTTTAACGCAACGTATACGAAACATATATAGAAATCTCTTGCGAGTAAACTAATATGATAATGGCGCGTATGAATCGCTCTTTCGCCCATTGTACACCTATATGCGTGTCGCAGGTAGCCACAGTCGATCGGACAGACAAACCGCGACGCTAAGTGATTCCATTCGTACGGAGACCGTCGTCCCGATTTCGACACTGACATCGCGCTCTCTGTGGATGTCCGGTTCCATTTTTCAGTTTGATTGCCACACGATTACCGCAAGCAAATGTCGTTGTACCTTGGGTGGAACAATGGAAACCGGGTCGATTATTCGCTAGCCACGGAAAGACCAGAGACACCTCCAAGACACCGCGCGCGAGCTCGCGAGCAATTGATAATCGATAGTTATAATAAAACTAGAAAATACGATATATCGGAAAATTAAAAATACAGACCGTATCATTAAGATATTATGTTAATTGTCATATTATCGTGCGAGTGTTTGACTAACAATAAGACAAAGTTTATGATGCGTGACGTAATCGCCATAACCACGCAATAATGCACTTTGCCACTTTCTATGTGGTCGAACATACGTGCGCTTTTGCAATTTGATTTATTCCATATCTAATTGCAGTAAGCTCGCTGACGAGTATGCTACGGAAAAATTATCCCGTCAGTTTGTCGAATTCTGACTGATTATTTCGATATTTTACGATGCATTTAGAAATATTACTACAATTAAGAAAATAATATCACAGACGCTTTTTTGTTCGTAAATTTCTTAAAGCTGTTCGTCATTTATGAATTAAAAACCTTCACTTATTTTTTTAGACGTATGAATAATATTAACTGCTGTAACTGTAAATACCTGAGCGCTCTAACTATATACCTGAACGAACACACGTGTAAAAAGACAGTTCAATAATTTATTATCAATAAAATTTTTTCGTTTGCTACCGCAGAAAATAAATGAGCTTCTTGTGACGAAAAGAGAGATCTAATCACTGATTCTACTTCAGATTATGTAATAATTGTCTTTCGCAAAAATTTTAGAGGACTCCTTTTTCTGATTAATTATGCATGATACCGGTTCAACTGTTAGTCTGGGAATATATAAAATCAAAATTTGTACATTGACCTTCGCTAAAATTTAATAAGTGTGACATCATTCGATGCGGATCAACGACCTTATCTTCTAGTTCGCTCAATTTTGTCGAATTATTTCATTAGCTCGACAAGACCAACTTTCAATTCAATTATCGAATAACAATTCGAAGCGGGGTTTGATTAATGTTTCGCGTATAGGAGAGAAAGACACAGAGAAAAAGACGGAGGAGAAGATGAGAACCATCAGAATTGAAAAATCAGTTTAATCCGCGTCACGATTGGACATTGCGAGATAGATTGAGTCATATTTCAGCCTCACCGGCGTTTTCTATGTAACATCGAGTGGGATTATGCCGAGTATAGCTCATACGTCGACCTTACCCGAAAATTTCGCTTTCGTTTGATCCTAGATTGCGTCACCGTTTGCGAATGAGCACGCCGGGAGGTATCTAATAGCTCTCTCGCGACTTTCGCATTATCATGTCAATGTCAGGCGAGAGCGTGACTTTTACGTCGACAAAATTCCTCGCTCGTGTTCGAACGCGAAGCACGTAGCCGGTCTCATGCGATTTACGTGAATCCCCCGGCAATGTACTACTTAATTCACTAGGAAAAAGGGGGAACGAGAAGCCTTCGTTTTCGAGAGTTTCCTTTGCTTTATACTCCCTTAATACACGGTCTCATGCGATTTACGTGAATCCCCCGGTAATGTACTAGTTAATTCACTAGGAAGAAGGGGGAACGAGAAGCCTTCATTTTCGAGAGTTTTCTTTGCTTTATACTCCCTTAATACACGGATATCCGAAATTCCTAAATGTTGGAAGCATTAAAAGGATACCTCGCTTTTCTTTTCCAGAGGACTTTCCCGAGAGAATCGATCTCGAGGCACGCAGATTATTGCAAATCCTTCCCCCGTACGATCCCGGTGCGGGAGGCGTCAGCGCGACATGCAAACGACACGCCGACATCTTTCACGAGGAGCTCGCGAAGTTCACGCTATGGGCGCTCAAAAGTAAGTCCGACTACTGTACCGATGGACGAGTACATTTTCGGAGGCACGACCTCTATAGGAGGTTGACCATCTATAAGGTCAACCAAAGATAGCTCTCCGTAATTTGAAATTAAATTACACGAAGGCAATTATCGAAAACTCGTTTCAAGAAACTCTCTCGTTGAACGATTGCGAAAACGGGAACTCGAAGCATGTATCGAACCATCAGTCGTCGAAATGACCGTAAATAAACGACGAATTTGTGCTTAATGATCTTTCACGTGGCCCGAATGACTCAGTGAAATATTTGATTCGTAGACAAACATTAATATGTTAATACCCCACGCTATTTTAGATGCGACACGAGGGACTTAATTAGTTGGCAACGGTTATTTCAAAATTTCGCGATCGTCGCCAGATCTTTCCTTTTTTCTTTGAATTCACTTTGCATATGTGCACGCCGGCGTGTAATTTTTTTATACACATACCGCACGTGTTACGCGAGCATTATTATTATTATTAGATTCCGTGTACTCCCAACGGAATAATCAAAAACGGTCAAAATTTTTCGTCAAGAATTTACTTGTATAGGAATCGTTCTCACTGTCAAAAGAGGGTCCTACCTTTCTATTCTCGTAATATCAATCACTTTTAACCCTTTTAACGTTTTAGTGTACGACGCGACCGCGAAAGTGCCTTCCGGCCTGCTGAGCGGGAACGTTAATCAATTGGGCGATTTCGACGAGTGCGTCGGTGTCGAGGGCAAGGATGGCATACGGGGACAGTATTGTCTGGCGTACTTGCAGCTGGACGTCGACCAGTCTCGGCCGGACCTTAAATACTTGCATCGCCTGCTGCATTCGCATTATGCGTTTCGCAGCAACATGACCGACGTGAGTATATAATGTGCATTCTCGCGATACGCCACGCGAACGTTGTGCCGACGTGATCGATCGTTTCGCAATCAATCACCTCATCTTATCGCGATATCTCACGTACGCGAGCGGAACGGCCGATCGCCTCGGCACGTAGAATATCAAAATCGTCTGCTTAAACTGTTCGCCATTTACCTACTCGCTAACTCGCAATGACGCGAGATTACGTTAATGTAGGCAACTCGTGCACAAGCTCTCATTATTCCGGTCCGCTCGATATTCCGATCGAGAATACTTCACGTTCACGGAAATACCGCTTTATTTTCCCATAAACTGGATTACTATTGAATAAAACGGCAAAATTAATTAATGAGATTCACGCGCGATAAAACTGTAATTTGGAGGATCGAGCGTAAGAGAATCGATCTAAACTCCCAAATAAAAAGATATTTCCATATCGGTATTTCCCCGCGAACATAATGTTCCTGGCATTTTAATGATCCGGCGGATCATCGCCGACGCGTACGTTTAATCCCTGATGAATATGTAGTAGACGCGTGAATCCTGCGCCGCAGGATTTATGTAAATTGACGAAGTGGGGGGGAGAGACATTGGCGGCCGGATGTTGTCGGATAAAAGACGCTCAAGCGAGCAATCGCGATAAAGACGAGCGACGCCGACGTAAGATGAATTTTAATGGAACAAAACGGGGAACTGCGTGAAATAAAATAAAAACAGTTACCCGAAACAAAAAGAGCTCGAGCCTCCGGATAGCATCATTGATAGCTATCTGGAAATTTGAATTAAATTTAGAAATGAGAAATTCGTTTCTGTTTCTCCGAAAAATGTGGAGGCACGTCACAAAAACTCCGTGATGTTATTTGTCGCGACATGTATTCCTGAATAATCAGATCTCAAAGCCCGATAAAAAGTGATTTATTTCGACGTATTGTGCAAGGAAAAAAATCACATAATTTTTCACTCTTAATGTCATAATTCAATGTAGCTGTAGTGAAAAAATAACAGACTCAATTGAAGCTCTTAAATAAAAGTGTCAAAGAAAACACGCAAGAATGTGAATTGCTGAATCATATAAGAAACTTGCTTTGCTTAGATATCGACAATCCGATTATTACATAACAATAATAGGCAATAATGTTCTTCGTGTTCTGCGTGTATGTGATTGGTTGGAACAATCATCTATAATGTTGTGTGTCGCATATCAAATTGATGCTAATGGGTTATCATTCGGTATTGTTAACGTTGCTCACAGCGAGACCCAAGAGTATTAATTATTGTTGCTTGACTGATCAGATACATCAATTATCTTCTGATTTGCTTGTTCCTTCACAGAAATCATGGAAATATGATTTACAAAACGTTTCCATCTCTTTTATTTATGCCTCCCACAATCGAATGCTTTTAATAGACTTCCGCAAATGTATTTACTCTCGAGAGCACCTGTGCGGCGAGTATATTAAAACACTCGCCGTCACGACGATAACTAATAATAAATATAAAAAATCTTGCGAAAGATGATTTTAGAAAAAAAACATCCCATTATCATGTCTGCTACGTATAATCGGGATAATAAATGTCGAGTTTCTTCAAACAATGTTTTCGAGCTTCTACATTTTTTTTTCGATGTGGCAAATATTTATCGAAACATAGGTATACATAATGGTAATTTTTTTACTCTTATAGTAAGAAATTACAGAAAATAGGCGAAAAATGTGTAACAGGATTAATATGTTGCACGGTGAAGAAACAGAGCATTATGGTGATTCTCAAGAACATAATTTATCAATTTGTTCACGAGATTTCCATGTTGTTCGTTGATTATAATCTTCTCAATTTTTATTTGGCCTTAAAATCCGCTATGTCTATTAAGAGTAAATTAATTTCAGTTAACACAATCTAATGACAGTAGTCTATCGTACTACAATATTACAGATTATAAGATTGTTTATATTTATTTTTAGCCCGGTCACAGAGTACCGCGTTTTAGCAGCGTCAATTGGGCTATATGCACTCCCGCGTCATGTACGGCCCAAGACGTGAAGGCCTCTCTTCAACATGCCATCTCGAAGTACACAGCTCAAACTGGTCTCAAAATCTCGCTACAAGTGGACCAGAACATGTGCCAAGTGAAAGAAGAATTCGTTCTATCAAAAGCTACTATCGCCACCAGGTAAAAATATACTATATTTGAATCACGCCAAGCATCTACATTGCAAAATGGACAAACTAAAAATTTATCCAATCACGTGTAATAAGTTTTTGTCGATTCTTTAAAATTTTCTACTTTCTTTAACGAGGCAGATCTTCGCAAAAGTCGAAACTAAGCTGAGGCAAAAAATGAATCGAATAGTCAACTCTGAATTAACTGAATAATTTTCATATTACTTTTTTCAGTCTTCTCTTCGTCACCGTGTTCGTCCTGACTCTCGTAGCCGCGTACTACGATCATTGCAAAATACCGGTCAGCGAATTGCTTTTATCGTTCTCTTTGAAACGCAACATTCTGAAATTATTGTCGTTGGAAAGACCGCAAGGCGACATAGCGCCGCTCCACGGTATTCGATTCTTGAACAGCCTACTGCTGCTCACAGCTCACAAGAGCATGGCGGTATTCTTTATCCCTTACATGAACCGAACTTACATGAGTGAGGTACGTTGTGAATTATTCATTTTTCAGAAACAGATACGTAAACATATAACTCGAAAACCGCAAATTCAACATATTCGCATTTGCAATAATTTTTTTCATAGATAAAAAATATTATACTTTTACTACGTGAATAAAATTTTATCTACAGTGTTCTGATTAATCGATTACTATCGATTTTCGTCACGAATGTATATTGCTTAGAGTTGAAAGATAATTTTTTAACAGTTTTTAGGTAAACCGTGGACCGTCCTAGGAAGAGCGGCCAGTCTGTATACTGACCCGTTCATCATGCTATCCGGTTTGTTAACCACGTATTCATTCGTGGGTAGGTTGAACAGGACCGGATCTTTAGACATCAAGAACGAATATTTATCGCGCTTGCTAAGGTACTGATGTGTGTCTTGTGTCTCAATAAAGAAATAAGTAAAAACGAAAAATGGTTCTCTTTACGCGCAACTTATTGTTTCAGGCTAGTGCCAACTCTAGGAGCGCTGATATTGTTCTGTACTTATATTATGCCGTACATCGGATCTGGACCGCAGTGGCCGCTGGTGGTGACCAGTCACGCGGAAATATGCAAGAGAACATGGTGGAGGAATTTTTTGTTTATTCACAATTATTTCGGATTCGAGAATATGGTAGGTGTAAAACGCATGCAAATAATCGTAAAAGATAAAAACGGCTGAAAGACTTTAAAAATGAAATCTGAGATTGGGATGTTTTTTCAAAATATTAGCAACGTTACTTCGATCTCACTTTCAGCCTATTCACATCAATAGATAAACTATCTTTCTCCGCTTTCAGTGTCTTACGCACACGCATCATGTAGGAATAGACACGCAACTGTTTGCGATTTCACCCGTGATGGTGTTGCTCTTGTACAAAAGGCCAAAGATCGGCGCTATTATACTCGGTATAATAGCCTCGATATCTACGATATTAAGATTCTACGTCACATATACGAAAGATCTCAATAATTACGTGTACTTCGGCACGTCGTAAGTAAATCAACGTTCCATTGTATTGCGAGAAGAGATTGATTGATTCCAATTACATGTTATTCATATCTCGTTCTCACGCAGGATAAGACAATTATTCGACACTGCGGATTATTCCTACACGTTACCGTCGCACAGACTGACCGTTTACATCATCGGTATCTTCGCGGGTTACTTGCTGCGGCATATACCCAAGGATTACAAACTGGGCACAGTGAGCGTTGCATTAATTGTTTACTCGTGATACATTCGCGACGAATACGCTAATTTTCAACGTTTTCAGACAGCCTTCTACACAGGCTGGACCGTGTGCAGCCTGATGTTTTTGGCAGCTTTTCTCGGGCCCTCTAAAATGGGTTCTATCGATTACGTGTACAACCCAATTCACGCGGCTACTTACAACGCGTTCGCTCCTATCGGATGGTGCGGCCTATTCCTTTGGATAGCGTTAACGCAACATACCGGCAGCTCGAACGGTAATCATCGCATCAATATCGTAAAATTGATATTTTACAAATAGCAATTATCTCCGCAATTATAATGCGTGTTGCATTGTTGAATCGTAGGGCTCTTGAACAGATTAGCCTCTTGGCGAGGATTTCTCGTTACTACGAGGATTAGTTATGCCGTCTATTTAACACAATTTCCGATATTTTTCTACAATGTTGGACAAACCCGCACCGCGGAGCACTATGAATTTTTCAGGATAATGGTAAGTCTTATAGATAAAACAAGCGTAAAATTTCTTTTAATGTCTTGCCCGTTTTACTTATCCACTTACGAAATAGTTCAATCAAGTGCGATATATTGATTGTTTTAAATGTCTAATTTGTGTTTCAGCTCAATATAAAAGAAATAGCATGGATTCTTTTCATGTCAATAGTTCTCACGCTGCTGTTCGACACACCGTTTCAGAATATAAAAAATTATATATTGAAAAAACCGGCGTCGAAAAAGGATATAACGAAATCATCCAAAATGGAATAATTTTATTTTAATTTTGTCTTGATTTAGACTTAAATATTTTAGCTTGACTTACAATAGCTTGTCTACGGCTTTGTACATAGTGTTTTTTAATTAAATTTTTAATAATTAATGTATAACGTGTAGACAAATTACGGGGTATGAAATATTAGGGTATGAAATATTAGAAAAAATTGAGAAGAAATTATTTTGTAAAAAATTAAATTTTTATAAAGTAGGAAAGTAATTAGTGAAATGCACACAAATGAAGTGTGCTTATGAAAGTTTTTTTTTTATTAATTAATTAATTAATATCCACCGACCCCACTGCGTAATTAAAAATATATTTGCTACACTTTTATACAGTTCTAAATATGGCCATAAAAATAATTGTAAATATTAGTTTCTCGTTAATTCTCGTATAATTAATAAACTTAACATATAGAATATTACTTTTTAGTCTTTTTACACTCAGGCAATATCGTACCAGGTAATATAGTATAATTCATGATGCGTACGGATTGGCATTGCAATGCTTCAATCCGTCTTCTCGTATAAGCAATGAAGATACCTAATAATAATGTAGAATAATAAACATTTAAAAAATTAATAGTAACAAAGAGGCAAATATTTTTATTCAGGATATCTTGGACGCTAAAATGTGATTATTGTTAATAGTATTAATACACATTTCATATATTTTCTCGTCTTTTACTTTTATATATTACATGTATTATTTAAGCAATACAGCTTACATATAATTTCTTTTGAATACAATTCTCGTTTATCACGCAGAATATAGCATAATGAATAAGATAAAGGTTTAGACCTATTTGTCACAATAATATACATAAATACACATAGGTACAGGAAAAACTTAAAACTAAAATCTATTTTTCCGAGCGTCACTGAAAAAAAAGGTTTTAATCGTGCCATATACATGTTTATCGTATAATCATTTATAATTGTCGCAACATTATTTGTCTCATATAAAATGCATTTATGAAATTAAAATAAATGACATATAAAGCTGCCTTATAGTACCTGATAATAAGTGTATTTACATAGCTATATTCGTAGAAGTGGAGTAAGCTTACATCTTATATCTTTCTTTTATTGATTTAGATAAACGAGCGAAAAAAGTAATATTTTTTATTGTTTAAATGTTAACCAAAAAAAGACAATTTTTCGGTTGACTTATATATAATTACGTAAACACTTCACTGGAAAATTATTTCAAGGAATAATCTTCTATATATCATATAGAATTGCAAAAAATTATCACATATGACAATTGTCTAATCCTACACCCTTAATAGTATTCATTTGTAAGATCAGTTCTCATCAACTTCTTTTATAATCGTAGTTACGTACGTTTGCAATAGGCGGATGATATTACAAGAAAGCTCTAAACTGAGGCTGTTTTAGCTGAAAATAAAAACATAAAACAATAACTGAGAGAAAAAACCGATAATTTTGAAAGAGAACAAAATAAATGTATTAAAATTAATAAACAAAATATAGTTCCTGTGATCATCCTCTAAATAAAGTAATTTCTAAGTGTTACAACTTTTAATAAGCAGCACCATCGCATGTGTTTAATTATGCCATATTATATGAATAGAGTCACATGTTTGATAGGAATATATATATATGCAATTAATATTGCAATAACGCATATATATGCGTCAATTATCGATTACAAACTAGTTATAAATGCATCAGTGGTACAGCAATATTATTTGAATATATGCAATATATTGCATAGTACAAAAATCGAATAGATGCTGAAATAACTTTTCAAATAATCATAAATTTCATATTAGAGATATAAATATGTAATTTTCCTATCATATCTTTATATACCGTAATTTTACACATCTAATTATACGTGTGATATTAATAGAACTGATTTTTATAACATATAAAGCACATATGATATCAATATAACTGTTAGTCTTTCGGAATAGCATATCATTAAATGGATAGTTAAATTGTCTTGCATATAATCTAAAAATTAGTCAATAGAAGTTTAGCAACTAAAACTACATGCAGTTCATTCTGCACACATCTATGTTAAATACATTATTACTGAGAAAGCAAATTTGCATACAGAACTACTATTTTTTAGGAATATATATCAGTTTAATACGCAATATTTCGTATTGCATTGTTTGGCTTAAATATGATCATAATTAGCATGTCAATGTTAGATCATAAGCAGAGAAATGTCTGTAACATAAGATTTTTTAATTATATTAAAACGTAGATATTTGTTTATCCACTTATAATACTACATTGCTATATCGAGTCATACCTGTTTTACAGACTCCTGGATTTTGGCTTACAATAAATCCAGAAGTTTAAGAGAAATCTCTATTCGGGAAAAGGGCAGGCGCTACCAATGACCATACATAAAGACCCAAACACATCCATGAAGAAATAATCTTCACCCACATCGAAGCGGCGTTTGCATTTAAGGTATCCAGACTGGAGTTTGGTCTATTAAAGTATCAATATAGTGATGTTGAGGCATATTGAAACAAGTACAGTTTAACATTATAACATTATAGATACGCACTTATACCAGTTTGTAAGCGTCATCATAACATATAAAGTAGCAAGAGCAAACATGAGATGGAAGAAACTCCAGTTATATGCTACTTTTTCTTCTTCATTGTCCCAAACTTTGGCCTCGTTTCCACCCTCTGCATCGGCATTACGTCCTTCTACTGTAGTATAATCTGGTTACATTTAGGAAAACGGGAAATAACACAAAAGAAAAAGCTACTAAGCTGCAAATAAAAATACTGAGCGAGCACTAGTTTCCATAAGTATGTTTCTGACAGCATGCTGTAAAATACATGTGTGTGTAGATATTATTCAGCATTTCATTACATATTAAAATTAGAGAAAAATTTTGAAATTAACTAGCAGCATCCAATACTTAATTCTAATATTACAAAAATGATATCGTAACGTTTGTGTAAAATAAGCAGAGAGAATAAAGATAAACACACACTAACTACTAAACAAATCCTAGTTATTTCATACTGCATAATTATAAATATGGAATAAATATTTTCTAATATCTATATGTAAACCATTCAATAGCTTTATCTGTGCAAAATATAAACATATGAATATGTTTTTAAAGATGAAAATGCAAATAATCAAGATTCATGGCTAGAAAGTGAAATACTTATAAAATAGTGTGTGCCTACCTTCATTACCGATAAGAGACTGCTCTCCCGCATTTCTAACTATAGAAAGATTGATATTTAATACAAAAAAGGTAATACTGTGTGCTCAAAAAGATACTTTCATGAACAGTTAAGATTTCTAAAAGGAGGAACAGCACGCTTTCACAAATATGGCTACTAAAACACACAAACATCCAACTAATATTTACCAGCTCCATTATCCTGAATTAATACATTTTCGGACATTGTGATCTTTGACGACTTGGACGCTGTACGTAAGGAACTGTATAAAACGCAGCTAAACCATATTATAAGTCCAATAATGCTTTCCTTATCGAACGCAATACGATTTTGTGTAGTGACATCATGACTCGATAAACCAGGGATGAAACCAGGATTACATTGGTGATCTGTAAGTTCAAGTAATAACAATTAAGAATAAAATAAGGATTGCTGGCTAATAGTGTCCATCCTAAATCATTGACATCTACCTGGACTGTTTGATATACCGCTCCACGTTAAGTATACCACATATAATGTTACCACAGAGGACTGAAGAAGTCCGGATCGCGGCTGATGTTCTTGTACAGTCGGTAAAATTGATACAACACCGGTAATGACACACAAAATCAGATTAAACGAAATGAAAAACTTGTTCAGGGCACATGTACTTTGCTGTAAATATAAAACGAGTAATTATATCCTGTATTTTGCAGCAGATATCTGTTTTAAAGCTAGATAAAATACAATTAATAATCTCACATGTGTATAATATACGTAAAGGAGCACCACTCCAGTAATAGAGACGGCATAATTGAAGAAAGTTGCGCCCAGCAGTGCAGCATACCTAAAAGTATTTCATATATTTGATAATGAAAACGCCTGCGTCGCACGATTACATTTATATTACTACAAATATGATTTTTACCATCCTTTTGACTCGGTATTCTCATAATTTCCTACCCAAGCATCAGCCCAAGTGTGTGCAAAGTCAACGATTAGAATCAACTGGATAATTATAAAGAGGAAACCTCCCAACATTCCGAAATACATCCAAGTAGATCCGAATGATCTTTCTGGGATAAAGAAAGCACCAATAATCCCTCCGATTATCAGAAGATATTTGATTGCCCAGAATCTGAGAATTTCATGTTAACGTCACGAATCACAGTTTTAGATGCAACAGCGTAATACGTGTCACGTTGATTTACCCATTTTGTATGGCTGCTCGTGGATCTCTTGAACTTTTCACCCTAATCATTATTACGGACATCAAGAAAAAGTACAAGGAGAGAATGAAACATATTCTATAGACTGCCAAGTAACCGACCGCGGAGTCGCAGTCGAGAGTAACTTCCGATGGAACATACGTGGAACTGTTTGCACAGAACGGGACCTGTTTAAAAAAAAAAAAAATCACAGCGTTAACGCGCTAATTGTTTCACATTGTTCACCAACGTTACCTTTTTCAGAGCGTTTTGAAGACCAGGAGCCAGAGTGATACAGGCTGCAATAGTTCCCAGCAGCAGGAGCAGCGCATACATGATGCGAGTGCTCGTGCTGTTCCTGCACGAGGGACACTGAGAGCAGCAGAAGCTGCAGGCTGCGCTTCCGCACAAGCACGCAAGCTATGCGACAAGAGAGAGCAATATAGGGCTCGTATTTCATTCAAATATACAATAATACAGACATTTTACAAATAATACATTCTTATATTTTAACAGGATTGTAACATTCTTATCACAGGAATATCAAGGGCTACAAGGAAGTCTTTAAAAATAGCACATACTATACTTTCTTAGCACGTATATTAAAATCAATATCGGACACATAGATATATAGTCAAATAACATTAATACCATAATTAGATATTCAGTGACTCATTCATGCCTCTGCAAAAATTTTCCACGATACATATTAAAGTAAAATTGAAATCGGATTAACTGCATTAAAAAAAAAAGAAAGAATTAAGTCTTAAGATGTCTTTGTCCACAGAGACAATAAAACAAACATGACTAGTGACTAATCCCGAGATCAACAACGGAATGTAACTGCGATCCCGGCGTAATCGCAATAAAACGCTGTAAATGTCGCTACGAATAAGGTAAAAAAAGTGCTGTTGCTGTTTTCGGTGAGCAACGAGGAAAGTGGAAGGGAAAGATCTGCGTCTCTGGAAAGGATAAGTCAGATACGTTATCTCCGAGTCGCCCTACCTGAGCCGTCGAGCACACGAGACCCATGGCGAGATTCTCCCGTCGTCCGAGCTATCGAGGGAGGACGAGGAAAATTGTCTCGCGAGAGGACTGGAGAGACTCGGGAACTGGAAGAGACCGAAATAGAACGGTGGAGGAACGAGAGATGTCACGGGAAGGCGCAACAACAATAGGCGCGCACTGACACACTGCCGCTCGCGAGCAACTTCAGGCGATCAGCTGACCGGCGACGTCACGAGTCACGACTCGCCGCTTCGCGGCGCACTTCGCGCGACTCCGGCGCCAATTGATTGGTCGAACCGCGTCGGCGGCCAACAGTACCACTGCGCGAGCAGTGCTGGCAGCACGGTTCGACCACGGTGGGCACGGTGTGTTGGGTGTTCCGCGTGTATGTACGCGTGTTGTCATCATCGCTAAAAAAAAACACGGAGAGAACTGAGCCGGACACAATACGCGAGTGAACACGCTGATGCTGCAAGTGTAAGCGACCTGATTTGCCTCGATTACCGCAAACGAAGCTGACTCCGCGTGTTTATTGTCTCATTGCGGGCTCGCGCAATGCCCAAAGGCATTTGATCCCGCTGATGATTGAACTTTTTCCGAGACGGAGCTTTGCAATGCGAGAGACGCGCTAAGACCATAGCTATTGACGTGTACTCGATACCAGGGTGTCGGCCACTGGGCCACTCGAAGCCTCGCGAAAGGGCCGAAGGGCTAAGCTCGCGACGCTAATTGTAAGACGCGAATGAGAATCCCTGTGGTATGATAATATTAATGAAATGTATGCAGGCGCCGCGGTTTTAATTATGTTTCTCATATACTCGGCCGGATTAAACGCGGGTATATATTCGCATTTATCTGCATTAATTTGTGCATTAATCTGCATTAATCTTTTTAATACGGCACAGAACGTTACGTAGCGCGTTTTTCCAACTTTGGTTATGAATGCAGATGAGTACGGATTAAATTTCCTATATTCCGTATATATCGATGTTGCTCCAATTATTGTATAAATCTGACGACCTCACATTTTTCTTGCAAGACTCCAATTTTCTCTGACAAAAGCTTCGAAACCTCTCTTATTGAAATTTCCTTTCAAGGAACTCTTTCTAACAATAGAGATACAAGAGATTCTGCAATCACTTTCTTAACTTTGCAATATTTCTTTGTAAATGATATCTATCTCGTCGCAACATTTTATGCGACAGCTTAATATGTTCTTATATCCTTATTTCTAATCTTTTTGATTGTTAGAGAGATTTATGAGAAATGGTGTATAAAAAATGGAATTGGCAGTAAATAATTTTTTTTAAGTATTTGAAAATTTTTTATCACAAAAGTTTGCACGGGTCTATCATGCGGAACAATTTGAGAATTTATTACATTAAATATCACCGCTTTAAATTTTCTTCTAAAATAGTGCTCTGAAAAATCTTTTTTCTCATACATTCTGGAGATTCAGTCCATCATACTCATATCAATATTACAGACGTATTTCAATTTCTATTAATTCTCAAATTAATTCTCGCAAATAAATTCTCCTTTTAACTCTCGGTCAACACGCATCTCGTCTTGAATATTTAAACACACACGCGCTCGAATGGACCGCCTGTAATCCGCATATTTCGCCGCATAAAATTGAGCTATGTTTAGATTTCAGCTAAATGGCTGTTCCGCGAAAAGAAGCGAGAGCATTCTCTGCGTGGTCAGCTCTATACTTCTTTGTGCATGAATAATTGATTTTCGTAGTGTTTGCGAGTGGGTTGCACCTATGTCAATAATTACAAAGGTTCATAAACGTTATCTTATCGTTATGAGTCACCTCTTCCCACCCCTCGTAGCATTTCGCAACGGAAAAATGACGCGACCGTGGAATGTGGAACGAGCTAAAAAAGAATCCGTTTCTCACGTTTATCAGTTAATAACTTTGCGTGTACGGCAATTATTTATGTTTGTCGCATTGTTCTAAAGCTAAGCGTCTAAAGCGTCAGATTAGTTATTTCATGCAGCATTGTATACGAAGCTCTCAGAATTCCTTCACCGTCAGAATTTGCGTATAACATCTATTTTTTTGCGGCACGCGAAAGAAACAAAAGATATTTGAAAGATATTAATATAGATATTAATAATCTTGGAAAAAAAAACAGTAGATATCTCCCGAAAATGTAAACACAATATTGAACGCGATAACGATAAGAAAAATTCAATTACTTTTTTAACGTTTTGCAATATTTCTGTGCAAATGATGTTTATTAACTGATTGCAATATATTGTTGAATATGTTCTTATAATATCTTTATTATATCTGATTTTTTTTATTGGATTTGTGAAAAGTAGTTTGCATAAAATTAATTAGCGAAAAATAACTTTTTTAAAGTCCTTGACATTTTTTCACTGTAAAAATTTGCATGGAGAGTCTATCACCCACAGCAACTTAAGAATTTATAAAATATCTCAGTTTTGAATGTTTTTTTTAAATAATATGCATAAATATTATTGCTAAATATATGCATAATAATGCAATAAGTTTCGAAAAACTTGACTTGAAACGTTACGTTGCCATAAATTTTGCTATTTATACCTATAAAAATACATGTCTATAAACGAAAGCAAGAAAGTTTTACTGTCCCTCGTAATCATTTAAATTTTTAAGTATCCTTATTGTTAGTTTCGTATTGCAATAGAAATTATCGACGTGTGGTTGCTTTGGTCGCGGCATACATAATTTAACGCGCCTGTGTATCGCGTATATCGCCTCTGGCAAAGTTGCTGCGTTGGTCCAGCCTGTGTGTCACAAAATTTTATGTCTACTCTCTGATCTTAAAGGTCACCTCGCGAATTACGCTGATACGATCTAATGCGCGCATAGACACTTTAGTGACTACGCAGTGGAGCAATTTCCAAGTAAAATCTATCTGAGCTCGGCACCGACGGGATCTCGATAGCGTTTTATTTATATTAATGAGTGTTAATTAGAACAAGCAAATGCACGCAGTTGAGTGTGTCATTCTATTAGTGTAGCTCTAATTATTGTCGTTTAAGATATATTGTTATCCATGTATGTTAGAGTAATTTTTCTTAAAGCACAGATATAACTTACGCGTAGGACTTTGTGTACCAAGACAACTCAAATTACTTCACAATAAAAAGATTCGCACATTTGTCATTTGCAGAAAAACCAAGATCTGACTGATAATAGCCGATAAGAACTGATAATAAAAACTAAAGATGGAAGGAGAATCGGAAAATAATGTTTCTAATAAAAATTCCAAATCAATTACTTGGCCATACATGAATGTCAGTTCGCTATCCATATCATTTTTGACTAAACTGACGGCAGCTGGTATCATCTGGGGATGGGGATATTTCAACTACAGCATAGCCTGGCTGATTGCGCCAATCGCGTTTTCCGTATGGAAGGCAGAACGAAAAAAGGACAACGAATTAAGAACGATTACAGCACAGGCGAGCGTGCTGGCTAAGGAAAAGGAATTGATCGTCAATCGAATGAACGAATTACCCTCGTGGGTGTATTTCCCGGACTTTGATAGAGCCGAGTGGCTGAACAGAGTATGGATTCATTTTCTTCACGTTGAATTATAAATTGTATAATCATTTTTCGCATAAAATATGAATATTAAACTGCTCGACAATTTCAGAGAGAATCTCGATAATATTATTACCATAATATTATATCTCACTTTTTCAGATCTTATATAAAGTGTGGCCAAGTATGAATCAATTCGTCCGTCAGTTGTGTAAGCAAAGTATAGAACCGTCGATTGTTGAGAAACTGACTGAATATAAAATCAAAGGCTTTCAATTTGACCGTCTGGTTCTGGGTCGCATTGTGAGTTTATTTCAATTCTATTGAAACTTATGCAGCATCTCGTTTTTTTTTTTATATTCCTGTCTTTTGATTTTTATATCTTTTCTAAAATTTACATAAAATGATCTTTTACAGCCACCAAAAATATACGGGATCAAAGTGTATGATAAAAATACCTCAAGAAACGAGATCATCTTAGATGCAGACATTATGTGTGTATTCTAGGTTTTTCGCAAAGTATAATAATAATTAATATCTTGAAGAAACCGTTTATTTCAACTGTTATTTCTATAGGTATGCTGGCGACTGTGATATTACCTTTTTCGTTGGAAACATTAAAGGTGGTATTAGGGACTTTCAAGTAAGTATATTAAAGACCGATACATGATATTATGGAAAATATTTTCTGCAAATTTTAATAAAAATGTGAAAATTTTCAGATACATGGATTGGTGCGCGTTGTTATGAAACCTATGCTGCCGATGATGCCGTTAATCGGAGGTGTACAGATATTCTACTTGAATGTTCCTACTATTAACTTCAATTTAGTAGGAGTGGCTGATGTATTAGATCTACCTGGATTCAAGTACGATTTTTTCATAAAAAAATCTTTTACCCTAAAACTGATGTGACAAGCAATTAGCGTTATTGCTAATTAAACATAATTTACGTAAGATACGATGCTTCTTTCAGTGAAATTTTAAGGAAGACAATCGTTGAACAGATAGCAGCCATTCTTGTATTACCGAACAAAATAATTATACCCTTAAGCCAAGAAGTACCCATGGAGTCCTTAAAAATACCTGAACCTGAAGTAAGCTCTACAGAAATGTCTCATATTATACACTGCATTATTCTTACACTTTTTTGATAATTAATATTTTAATCTTTTCTTATATTAGGGCGTTCTGAGAATTCATGTAGTAGAAGCAAAGCATCTGATGAAAAAAGATATTGGAATGTTAGGTAAGGGCAAGTCTGATCCGTATGCCGTCATAAATGTTGGTGCCCAGGAATTTAGAACAAAAACTATTGACAATACCGTTAATCCAAAATGGGACTTCTGGTGTGAGGTACGTTTCATAAACGGACACAAAATATTAACGTTTAATGCATGTGCTTTACTGTAATCTATCAACACATAAAAAAAAAGATACAACACAAGGTCTTCTATATATATGTGGTAAGAAAAATATTTCAGTAATTTACAAAATAAATTTGTATAAAAACTTTTTATAGACAGTTTAATTCATCACGTTACTTTATTCAGTTAACGATATAAATAAGATATACCACTCTCTTGCATTTAACTTTCCTATAAAAATATGAACAAGTATATTTTATATAGCATTTATAAATATTCAATACAATAAATATTCAATTGCTAATCTAGCGTTCTAAGTAATCAACTCTTCTGCTTTCTCACATAACTCATACATACAATTTCTAATCAATCGCAGACACTTTTCTCCCTGCGACTACATATTTCCTATTTCCTGTCACTCTTAATGGTTAATGTTGCCTTTTCCAGTTTGCAATTAGAATGTACATTTTAATCTTTCTATGTTAATATAATTTAATTCCATAAGTTGGTATGTATGTGTGTATGTGATGTGCAATATATTATATGGGATTAGTGTGCCGTGACTTCAGCCATCGCGCAACAACTGACTGTACTGCTGTGGGACTATGATGACACAAAGGGCGATGAAAGTCTTGGAAGGTATAGTTATATATAACATGTACTTTTTTCTTTTTTTCATCGTTCATTTCAGATTTAATGTCATTACGCAGGGACAAAGTCAAAACTAGATTCTACAATATACATTACACAATTTTCTCTCTTGTTAATCAATGTTTATTGTACAATTTTTATTGTAATGCATATAATTCATCCAAAATCATTTATTAAATTTATTCATTTTATTTTACCGATCTACGGAAAAAGCTTCTGTTGCATGATGTCATAACGCTGATGTGTAATAATGTTTATATTGTTGGTTTAAGTATTGTTTGAGTGATATTTGTGTGCATGTTGGGGATCTCATTTTATCTTTTTAATTTTCTTTACTGACACCATGTATTGGACACAAAGAAAATAAAATCGTCATGTTGCAAAATAAATATTGCAATCATTGTTCAGATGAAATTCCGTACATCATGTTAGTTAAATTCATAATAAATGCATTTGGCGTACACTTACATAGTGCAGCAATGTAAAGCACGGAAAGAAAAATAATAAATACAACGAACAATATACAGTTGCCATAAGAAAAACTGTCGCTTTTATATGTTTCATTTTTATATTTGTTATATACAATATGATATTGGCACACAGGCTATGATCAGTTCATGCAATATGCAAGAAGCTGTGGTATCTCTTTGGGATTGGGATGCAAATGTCCCAGGGGTACAATATGATGATTTCCTTGGCAGGTAGTAATATTATGATTTGTGAATGAGGCAATGTTTGCGCATGCACTAACATGAATGTATAGACTCAGATTTAGATGTTATATTTTAAGCATGCGATTTAGCCACGTTCGTAATTCTTGTCTTTGTGGTATAGTGTGTGTTATTTATATAAATTGTAAAATAAATAATCTATTTTATTTATCACTATTTTTAAAGACTTATTTCACTAATGCTGCAAATATTATAGCTTGTTAAACGTTAAACGCGCATTGCACGAATATCTTCTATTTTTTCTATGTATAATATTTTTTTATATAATTCTTTTAAAATAAAATATATGTACTACAAAATTTCAGAGTTTATAACTTTTTAACTTTCTTTAAAATCTTTTCTATATTTCCTATAATTTTTAGTGTATCGATTAATAATCTGTGTAAGTTTCATTAATCTGTTGTTAATTAACTTAAACAGTTACTGGTTTTTTACAGCTTTTTGTAACAAAAGAATATCGTACAGTTAACAGTTTTGTCTTTTTTGGTCAGTTAATTAATCAGAGTGATTAGGTGACTTGTTCAATAAGAAAGGCAACTAAAATAGACTATGTGGTGACAGTTTATAGTGGAAGAGGGCTTGGGAGCTTACAACACGGTGGTTGCCCAGCTCTTTGACAAAGACAACGCTGCTCAAGATGATCCACTTGGCAGGTATTCCTGAATGTAGCAAATACACCGATCTCAGACCAGATTAATAATGCATTTTAAGAGACTTGTACAGAATGTAAATTATGCGGATACTCTGCCATTGACTATTATTAGATTATGCTTGAAAGACTGCATTTTTCTTATTATATGAGTTACCTCTGAAATACTGCAGCGCATTTAAAGTATTTCAAACGTAAGCATTAATCACATATCTGTGATATGCATGCCGTTTATTCAAAGCACACAAAAAATATAGTATTTGAAAAATATTATAAAACTGTCTTGCCAGTCACAATTCGGAATTAAGGATAATTCCGACTTTATGTCACCACATTACTCTCGTTATATGTTAACCAAATATTGAGAAGTCTATTTTATTTACGCAAAGTAATGCTATGGAATGTTGCATGCCTAGTTTTATAAACGTAAATAACGTGCGATGATGTTTTTATATCATTATTCGACGATAAAATCAGTATATTAAAAATAATAAGCTGCATGAAAGGTTTCTAAATGAAAATTGTATCACAGATTTTGTATTCAAATCACGAAGGCGTTTCATATGTAAATTTAATAATCATACTGCTATCTCATCATCATTGCCAAAGTACACATCTAAACTTTGCTGAAATAATTATTTATTCTTTAAAATTTAATGAAAATTTGTTATATGTAATTTAAGACTTTTGAAGAGATCCATTTTTATTTTGTATTGTGACAGGGCCACCATCGAAGTTAATCAAGTGAAGAAAAAGGGCACGATCGATACAGTGAGTACGGAATATTTATAATATATAATCTTCTTATTATACTAATCGATTTTATTTTGTAGTGGATCTCCTTGGAGCAAGCAAAACACGGCATGGTTCATTTGCGATTAACATGGCTACAATTTTCGAGAGACTCTGCCGATTTAAAAGCTGTAAGTAGGAAGAAACGCTCACATCTCCCCATAAACGCTTGTATATTTTAAATTATAACTCTTGTGCAGGCTCTAATAGAAACCCAAGAACTTAGAGTTACATCGATGAGTACAGCCGTTCTAATACTCTATATCGATTCTGCTAAAAATTTGCCGGTACGTAAATTTTACGTCATGATATGTAAAAAAAATTGCGCAAGAGTTATCTAATAAAATTTCCAACACGCGCAGTGCATCCGAGGAAATAAACAACCCGACGTTTATTTGGAAGCGAGCGTGGGTGGAAAGAAAGAGAGAACAGCCACTGTACCACGTTCTTGTGATCCTGTGTGGGAACGAGGATTCACTTTTTTAGTTAGCAACCCCGAAACTGGAATTTTGCACATGAAGGTTTTCTGCAAATTCTTTCAGATAACGATAAGAGAGCCATAAGTTTGATCGTTGTTTAATGAATGACCTCGCGTTTTCTTTTCAGATTATAGATGAGAAAACTGCCATGACAGTTGGGGAAATGAGGTATAATCTTTCCCTACTTTTGGAAAGGAATAATCTCGAGGTGACGCAACAACCGTACAATTTGCAAAAGGCCGAAGCGGATAGCAAGCTTGTGCTGTCAATGTCATTAAATGTAAATAGCTGGAAATTTTATATGCGCACAATTCAATGGCGGAACTAGATGTGCCAACAGGAATTAAAATAACCTGTATTTACAGATCCTGAAATATGAACAGCCTGAACCCACTTCCGAGGAAGATGAAGATGATCATGATATCAATGAAATAAATAAACGAATCGAACGTCAAGAGTCCAACATTAGTAACATGGTGTCTTCCAGTGGTAAATGAAATTGTTTTAATAAATCGCTGAAAATTTCACACTTTTTTGGACCGTAGTAGAGTAAAACGTTTTGCTTATAAAAACACTTTCCTAAATTCTTGGTAATAGAACATGAAAGCTATCATATATAATGCTATACATTTTTTTATAGTACCACCGAGTCCGCTTAAAAAACAGCCGTCGAAAGAATCGGTCAACAGTCAACCTCGCACTGGATCCCCCGCAGCACTTTTGCCTGAGGAACCAGCAGCGGTGGAAGAAGAATTAATAGTCAGCACTAGCGCTCCGTCCTCTTTCACCGGAAGCCCTCAGCTTATCCACAGAAACCCGAGCGTCACGTCTTCCTCGGGCGAAGCGAAATTAGGGAGAATACAATTGACTATACGTTACAGTTCGCAAAGGCAAAAGCTTACCGTTTTCGTACACAAAGTTTCGTAAGTTAATCTCGATTAATCAAATACAACATCCTTATATTCGTTACAGTCACTGGCATCTCCTGTCATATGTACACGTTATATATTGCAGTAATCTGCCGCTTCCCCAAAACGATCCACATAATATACCGGATCCGTACGTAAAACTCTACATTTTGCCGGACAAGCACAAAGAAACGAAACGCAAAACTGCTGTGGTAAAGGACAACTGCAACCCAACGTTCGACGAGCAATTCGAATACGTGGTCTCGCAGGGAGATTTAAATACGCGCGTATTAGAAGTGTCTGTGTGCACACAAAAGGGTTGGCTCTCTACCGGGAGCAACGTGATGGGACAGATTCACTTGAAATTGAGCGAAATTAACATCTCGAAGACTGTCACCAGCTGGTACGACTTACAACCGGAAATTAAAGACTAGAAGAAGAGGAAAAGTAAGTGGGGATTTGAGCGTTTGTGCGTCTGCTTGACGAAACAACCGCTCAAATACCCACTTAATAACTTGTACAAACGATGAAAGTCTCAGATATTACAATTACCTCTATATTACGTTGATCATTGTTGAATTTACGACTTATTCAGGTAAGTTGCTATGCGGTGCTATGCGAGATGCGAGACGTCTTGCGAGAAACGATGAAAGATATTATTTAAAGAGGTATTCGTACTTACGCCGTATAATGGCATGAAATGATCTGATATGTAATATATATTGCCGCAATCATACAACAGAGGCGGATTGGCTTGTAACTTGATTTAGTAACTTGAAGATAATCTATAAAATATTTGAATACGATACACACGCGAAGAGATCTCAACAAACAAGGCTTTATTGTTATCCCGCGTTTGAAAATGTGCCTAAAACAGTTAAACGCTGGACGTTTAATTGAAGAATCCATTTGGCATGCAATACATATTATATCCGTGAATCTCGATTGTAAGTGAGCATTCGTAATTTATGAGAATACGAAAAAATAGTGATTAAACGCACGTGCGTAAGGAATATTGAAAATTTCTCATGCCCCAATACCGATCCGCATCTGGTATCAAATATATTTTGTACTTTCCTTTCTGTTTATGCGATGATTGAGTTGCGGCATAAAATACACACTAGGTGCAGATACTATTACTAAATGATCTGAATAATGTAGTATATAACATGACTAATTTATATGCTAATGAAAGCTAGTTAAGTAAGATGCCAATTTTGCGACATTGTGTTTTTTTTTTTACTATATTCCAATACTGTTTTATTACTAATAAAATTAAATAATGCATTTATCAATTGCACAAGCAATTAAATGAATGATTATACTAATATTAAAAAATTAATATTTTATAAGATTCACATTGGTATATAAGTTATACGTCAATATAGTTTTAATACGGCATTCTTAAAACCAAATTATTATATACGCTTTATACTTGTATTGGAGATTTTGCTACATTATACATACATGTGTACACACATAAATATATCTATGTATCTATATTCTGTGACGCGCACGACTCCGTCAATACTGTCACAAATTGTTGAGAACAATAAACATTATGTGCATTGTCACCGTTCGTTATTTCGTGGCTATTAATATAACAATTAAATTCCGATTTGCATTATGCAGCTACTTTTTAAAACGAAAACTGCCTATCCATTTCTGTAAAAAATTTATCGCAATTATTATTTTGGAGTTATATAAATTAATTTGTGGCAATCCTCTCTTTCCCGAAGTATCTACATCAGTAATTAGATAAGAAGCCACTTTTACCTCTTCTGTAAAAATCATTGTGCGTTTTCTCCCTGCGTATTACCGCGACTACCGTATAGATCCAACGATCACCAAGGAAACTTAACGATATAACATGAACATGGTGCTGCTTATCAGTAACATTCTCACAGTACCAAGTTTTTATATCAATCGTATAGCCTCTCTGCGCTATCTGTAATGAATTTATAACTCAAGCGATAATTTAACTGTGAATTGATAGAATTTTTATCAGTATGCAACGGACACCGATGTTACCTTGCCTCCCAGGATTTAGCGTTGACAGGAATGTGAGTAATCTTATATTCATAATATGGTTACAATACACGGTATCGGCAATATTTCACATCGTTATTAATGCTATTATTCGTAAGAAAGCATGTAATAAAATATAGTTCACGTCAATCTAAAATATAGACGCAATATGAAATATTAATGCGCGCAAAGAGAAAAATTTACATCGTAAATATGTTTGACAGCTCGGTAGAACAAGATTTCACAAGAGCCAGAATTTCGACAAGATACACGATGGAGTTTATTATTTATCCGAGAAAGCGGATAGGAGAGCGTACAGCCGTTATGCGTCCATCTATCCTCGAGGGGAGGAGCCAGAAATTCCGCCGTGGCTTGCATACGATGGCCAAGTATGACTGACAGTAAATGGAGAGCCTCATTAAAATAGAATATCATATAATACCTTTTAAGGAATTCTTTTATAACATAATATTTTATATAGTAATACGCTCTAAAGTGACTCTAATTAACGTTACTTTGTTTCAATTGCATTTTTTAGAGACTCATGTTCAAAGCGTTTTTCCAAGAGACTGTGCAAGAGAAGTGGAAAACAGCCTTCCACATTCGCGTGGTGAACATTAGCTTTTTTCTCGAGGACGGAACGATGAAAATCGTAGAGCCGTCTGTGGACAATAGTGGTCTTGAGCAAGGTTCAACGGTGCATTTCCTTTCAGTTCAATTAGCAGCAGGACAACATTGAACTTTTACGTTATTTTATTTTTGCATTTCATTACACTTTTATCTTAGAGGAAAAATTGAAGCAGAAATAATTGTTTTTAATTATTATCAATGTAAAATGACACTTACTATAATTGTTGTATTAATTTTCGATACAATAAGGTGTTTTGGTCAGACGTCAAAGGATACCGATTCCCGATCCAGTGAAGTATAGATATTACGACATACTTGACTTGAATATCGGAAAGGAACCCGAGATATACGGGCGAGTGTATAAAATCGTAGATTGCGACAAATTCACGAGGCAATTCCTTAATCGCCTGGGGATACCAGTACCCGATCCGATCGATATACCAAAGGATCCGTATCGCGAAGTTCGAAAAGTCGTAAGTGCAGAGTAATAATAATCGTACGTCAACAAAATCAGCCTAACGTTTTCATCGCATTATACTGTTAACACACTTGAAATTTGATTGTACGGCAGGAAGTATTTCCGAAAAAACCTAGTCGCATGGTGGACACTCTCGGTAACTTTTTGAAGTATGACAGACAGGTGCTCCGATTTTACGGATACTGGGACGATACCGAGAGTCCTCACGGTATTATCCACGATCTCGAGCTGCATTATTATCTCTCTGATAATACAATGGAAATCAAGGAAAATGTACCGCCGAACGCTGGTCGAGATTCCGGCCCGATGCTCGTTAAAAGGATGAAGATACCGAAGGTGCAATACTTAAAATACGTTTTTTTTTTTTCGCGAACTTCAAGAAAGATTGCCAATTTGCTGCGTTAAATTTTGATGTTACGTTGAATAATGCATTATCATAAAAATTGATCACTATTCCAATTTTTTATATTTTTTACTGTTTTAATTTTCTACATGTGTGTTTCGAAATTAATTTTCCAGTTTTATAGCGGCTTGCAACCGATCGGCGCGGAAAATCATTTCACGGTTTTGAATGTATTAGGCGAGAATGCAAGGCAGAGCTATTACATGATGGATTCTCTGGACACCGGCAACATTTCCACCGATTATTACAAGGATAATGAGTTGGGCATCGGAGCGGAGATTAGTGTTTTCGGCAGAAGAATTGTCATCACAGACATGGATGCTTTTACCAAGGAATATTATCGGTATAATGAGGTTTTACATCCGTGCTTATATCAGAGCTTGATCTACATATTTCTTCAATGATCTTTAGAACGAAGTACGGCTTGGATGACTTTACCCCTCTGACAAGGCCTCGAAAAGGCGATGAATACCAGAAGATCGAGAGGTACATACCGCCCTACAACGGTTTTGGATCTTACGAGGATTCCCTTGGAAACTGTTTTACAGTATTACCGAAACCGCCTAAGACAGACTTCATCAAGTTTCTGTATCACGACAAGTGAGTCACAAGCAACGTACTTCGAAACTGCCTTTCTTTTCATTTGATTCTATTCGTTTAATTCATTTTTATTACCATTTCAGACAGGGCTTTAATAGTCACGTCTTGAGATTTCGGGCGAAAATGGTATCAAAAATCCCAGGAAACGAAGAGAGACAATTCATTATAAGACTATATCTCATGGACGATACGATATCGATTTTCGAATTGGCGAAACGAAACTCAGGTATACCCCAAGTCTTTAAGGAAGCTTAAAATTTATCAAAGATTTATTCCAAATGTGTCTTAATATTGAAAAATAAGAATCGCTGATTTTTTTATATTTATAAATGAATAGAAAGTCAATTATTAGACTGTTATAATTATAGTGATATATATAAAATATAAATACTTCGTAATATATTAAAATAAAATAAAGAAATCGGAGTAAAATATTAGAATAATATTAAAATAAAGCGAAATTAAATCAGGCTTTCAGAGATCCTTGTTCCAAAAACGGATGCCGATAATGTTGCCTGGTCAGGATATTTTCACAAGCAAGAAACCGGAATACTACAAATCATACGATTTTTACATAGGAGCACGCTTAAACCTGTACGACTTTCATTTCGAAATTACATCCGCGGATGTTTATGCCCTGCGTTACATGGAATTACATTGCGACAAGGTGCGCGAAAACGTTTCTACGTTTCAACCGATAAGTAAATTAATTATAGCTAATTCGTAAAAAGTTCCGTTCGAACGTTGCAATGAAATTATGGTTCACGAGGCTTGACTTGCTTACGTACATACGCGTTATTAAGGAAGAAATTCTCTTCGCAGTTTCCCAAAGCGAACAAGAAATTGATAATGGAGAAACTTCGAGAGAGTCTACAGCCAGTTTACAAAGAGTTCGTTCAACTGTACGCCCCACCTAAAGACGCGAAAGACGATACTCGAATTTTAGAATATGAAAAGCTTAAGTACGCATATATAATAATTTATATATTTCCGTCCACGTTATCTACATGTTTCCTATGATCAAAATTACATTTTCAGGGAGGCGTTACACCGCTATATGGGGGACAAGATAACGGAACACGAAATGATCACGATTGCTCGATATTATTCATCTCACGAGAAGATAGAACACCGATCGAGAGAATATGTGAGGTGCGCGAATCCTAGTCTCCTAAATTAAAAATATAAATCAAGACTGTTATCATTTTCCTGAACTCAGATAACAAAATGCGAAGAATTTGTATAAGAAATCTTTAATCTGCATCGGTGATCTTTAGATTTTTTTTTCAATATCAGGATATCAAAGATTTCTGTGTTACAAGCAATTAAAAGTTAGTGTAAAAAACAATTAAGAAAGTAATTAATTGGTAATTAAGAGAATCGATGATTATCTTTAGACGTTTGCTGCACACGGAGCTACACCGATTTTTGTGGTACGATCTCGATCGCTTAAAGGAGGATTTACATCACTGGGACGGCGACAGAACGGGATTTCTATCTCGGGAATCCCTGTATACAATCCTGCGCGGCTGCAGGATTCCCGTCGACGTGGAATTGCTGAATTCCATGCTGGATCAGTAAGTTTCAAACAAAATTGGCGACTTAATCAATCAAAAGTATTTTGCCTTATTGTTATTATAACATGTTGTGATTTCTGCAAGCTTGCGCAAGGCTGAAGACGGCAGAATCGACTACGACGACCTGCTGCGGTTCATGAATGTGAAAATCGATCCCGTGCCACCCGCTGAACCCGTAAACGTGAAAGTACGTTGATTTATCATTATATTTCTGCACGAAAAAAAGCGATACATTAACAACATTAATCTAATTGGAAATAATCTTGTTCAATAATAGTATTAATGAAACAAATAACATTTTATTAAAACGAGAACATGATGTATTTGTTTCATTAATAATGTTATCGAATTAATAAGATTATTTTCAATCAGACTAGTTTCAATTAGAGTTGTTAATATAACATAAATTTTCTTGTAATTTTTTTTTAAATTATGCTTTTATTATATTTTATATATTATTACTTTCTTTTTTAAATTTACCCGATATATCTTTCCGAGAGATTCTTCTTGGGGGGGGGGGGGGAGTCTACTTTTTAACGAAAGAAATTTTAAGGAATTTAGATAAGACAAAAAATTAGGGGAGCAAATTTAACTATTCATTGTTTGCAGACGGCACTTTGGTGGGCATCCGAAAGAGAACCTGACTGCGGAGGAGGGATAAATTGGTGCGAGTTTATCAAGGATCTAGACATAAGGACGGAGGACGCGATCCAGAATAATGGCAACGTGGAAACGGAACCCGCGCTAGGACACTGAACGCGTTCGCGATCGAGATCTTCGCGAGAAAATATTTTTCGACTGCGACAACAATAATAAATATAACAGTCTCCTTTTTTACGTATATACATTCCTCCCAGTATTTCATATTTCAATTCTGCTGTGGGTATTTATCATAACGATTCTGTAGTGTGATTCTACAACTTGTTATGCTGTCGTTATGTGCTCATAACTGTAATTATAGCTGAAAATTTAAGTCCGCGCTAGCACGATAAAAATTCTCATCGACGGGGTGCCGCGAGATTGAAAAATGGCGGCCATCGCCATTACGTGTATCTCTAAAGTTATTTGATCCTTAAAAATGCGCCATTGTTCATAGCATTCTGAGTATTTTTTGAGTATTTTTCCTTCTGGATGAAAAGGCCCATTCAGAAGGGAAAGAAGGGTCAAAAAGGCCAGAGAAGGCCTCATATACATTGCGCGTTTTCAATTCAAATTTCATAAAGGCGAGAGGAGCTGACGGCGAAGCATCGAAAAGTCGCTTTGCATAAAGCTGCGCACGTAAAACTTTAAGCGTCGTAAGAAACATTATAATTGCGCGCTGCAGCCAAGAGGATGAGGTAAATTAAAAGAATTGCACGAACCTGGCCATGATGCCCATGACGAGGGTGCCCGTTGTAGTCTCGGTGCGGCTCCTCGGCGAGAAAACGGTGGCACGGACCATGGCGAGGGGCTGTGGGGCGTGGGACGTGACGCGAAGAGGCCTCGAGCAACGATGGATTGTCAATGCCCCGTATTCGGTGACGCCGTGACGCCTGCGTCCCGGCACGCACGCACTTCGCGGAATACGCTTTTCGATGATTTCAGGCAGAAGTCACCCACCGGCCGCGGAAAACCCGAAAAACGCGGAGCGATTCGGACCCGCGCGACTCGCCGCGACGCGTTCTTCGGTAAACTGAACACTGAACCGCGCGAGTGACCGCGATTTCAAAATTCCGGAGCGACGACTGCGACGAGCCAATCGGAGCGGGCGGTCGCGTCTGCCCGCTCGAGCTGCACTTTATGCACTTGGCGTCACTTTGCGTTTCTCGCGGGAAGACGAAAACGGCGGGAAAGCGCGAGCAAAGAACGAACTGTGGTTCAACATGACCACGGTCTTACGACCGTGAACATGACGGTAACATTCGGAATATAATTCGATAAGTATTATGTAATATATCCGAGAAGCGGATTACCGTGAAAAATGTAATCGTCGTAAATTATATAAAGAATATCTATTCTAATATGGCGCTCGCTTAAGTGGTCCAATTGCGACACGTCTGTGCATCCCTCACTGGCCAATTAAAGAAGAAGAAGAAGAAGACTGTGCATCCCCCTAACGAGCAATCGAGCATTACTTTCCACAATCCACCATGACAGTTATTGACAGTACCGCTCCTCGATAAGCGTTTAGCGTCAGTTGGCGTGGAATCGCGATTAATTAGTCGGGCGAATCAATCAATTAGTTGCTCGATCAGATTGCATCAACGTGCGGCACGTGCGCAGTCGAATTAGCCGAAAGAAAAGGAAAAGTAGCCAGAAACAGGTAACATTCTTATAACATACACGGGAATAATTGATCGATATTGATATGTTGTTCTATATATTGGCGACACTTTACATCGTCGCATTGCAATAATCACGCTTCAACGTCTCTTGGCATAAACATGAATCTCGTATTTAGCAGGCAAAGGATTTTTTTCGAGAGGCATACCCGACACCGTTCCCGGTTCCCGGTGAAACGATATTCACTCGACACGCCATGCGCCATGCGCCACCTCTCGCCCCTCGGCTGCTGAATTATTCATAATCAAAGTGCGAATTTTCCACTTTGGAAATTGAATTGAGTGAACATATACGTTCGGCACGAACGCACGCCAAATTGCATCGTGATTTTCGACTCGCGCGAGGATCAGGAAGGATGAGAGGTTACCCGCCATTTCCAAGCAACGTGTATTTGCAGAATGTAAATGTAAGTTACATCGAAATATCGAGCATTCTATGTACACTGCTCTGATCTACGTTCTCGAGGTCTCGCGACGACGACGTCGATTTACACATTTTAACTCCACGAGTCGGGAGGACCGGAAGATGTATTCGCCATCGTCCGCCGCGATACACGCACACACATCGAATAAATAGCAAGTAGCACGGTATAAATAACTCTTCTAATACGTACCGCCACGCAAGAGAAAGAGAGAGAGAGAGAGAGTAAGAGAGAAAGAGTCGTACACATTCACGGTAAATAATTTATCGCCTAAATAATTATCCGTCGCGGATCGGGATTCGCGACTTTCACGCGCGTGCGGCTCGCAGAATTAATTAATGTTGTGCTTAACGTTCAATTTGCGACGCATTCGCACGCGCAAAATTTCTTCTTCTTCGAGCGGAGTCGCATTTCCGTCGCGTCACTCATGTGGCAATTGTCGCCAATTGTCGCGGATCCACGTAAGTATATTCTCAATTGCACTCGTACGTCTTCACGACCCGCCTGCATGTCTTGCACTTCACGTAGCAGCAGCTGATGTACTTGCAGTCGCATCTCTCCAGGATCTCCTCGGTCCTGGTCACGTGGCCGCGGCCGCAGCAGAGGTACTCGCAGCCCTCGTAGCCGGAGCTGCTGCCGTTACACTGTCTGCAAGAGAATTTTTTCCCGTCTCATGATCATCGTTACGAGTAAAAAAATATTAGCTTTGATGATATTTCTCATTAATCGAGATTATATAAAATGTAATTAGTCGGATATTGTCATAGAGATCACCGTAGGGTCGCAGAAAATCAGCCTCCTAGAAAAATTATAGTCTAGACTATAATTTTTACGAGCTTCTAAAATTAATTTCACAAAAAAATGGTTTGAAAAAATTTGCATTCTAAAAATGAAATTTTGTTTAAATTAATTTTTGTATACAGTACTTTCCTAACGGCAATGTTTTTAACTTTTTTTATTATTGATACGGCCGTTATACTTCATCGCGATTATACCGGATATTACGGACGGATTAAGTTTCGTGTTTGCCATAATTAGACAGCGATATCTTTCTCGTTCCTTTCGGAGATAAAACGCGCGTAATTAGTGCACTTCGCAGGCGTGTTTATCTAATATCTTTCATAGTTCGTAACAGTCTCCTAGAAATTAATGTAACGATCCGCGGGAGGCATGAAGGCGGCCGACTGTATTATTTCAATGGCCTCGTCGAAACTTCTCCTCCGGTTACTTCGTTAAAAGCTCTCGGACTCCATTATTAATCGATTTGCATAATGTCCGCCTCTGACGCCGTAAAGATGACCGCCTTGCGCGATCGAGACTACCGCGTAAATTACGCGGCGTCAAGAAAAAAAAGGAAGGATCTCGAGGAGCGTTTACGTCGTAACGCGGAACACTGGTCCACGGAGCACGGTGTGTGATAAACATTCGCCACGCCCACTTTGTATAATTATACGCGGGCTTATAATTACTAGGTTGTAAGCTGTAAACCGGCGAGACGAGTCGGTGGTGGACCAAAGAACCTGACGCTATATATCAAACGCGCGGCGAATGAAATATCGGCGTGTCCGAAACAAACGTCGGATTAGAGCTCACGATAATCGTCCCTCCTCACGAAATTATCGGATTCCGTTGAAGATGTGTCGCTGTGTCGAGGAGAGAGCGAGAAAAGCACGTCGCGCTTCGCAGAAACGCGCGCGTCGATAAATCTCACCACGGAATTGATAGCGACATGCGAAATCGCGTTCGCGTCGAAAGAAACTAATATCCGGGCTAGATAGGCCGATATATATCAAACGATCGAAGGAATAGAGAGTTGGCTCGTTCGTTAATGAACTATAATGATTGCTGATCACTCGTGAAACTAAGAGGAGGCTCGTCCTCTATAAGACGAAGGATATGCTCTCACAATATCAAGAAAAAGGCTGTTTTGCGTTAGCTGAGTTTAAATTTCCGCGATCAGATTTTAAGTGAGACGAAATCGAAACGAGACCAACTTCATAATCTTGTCATTTGGAATTAAATACAAGATTCTACACTTTATTAAATGTACATTTTATTTAATTGGTGCAAAAGATTTGTCTCGTACCTGTCAAATAAAGTTTAAAATAAAATTGTGGCCACTAGCAGCATTGGTTTCCAATACTTTTTTCCAATTAGAAATATTCCTATATAAATTTTACAATTTTATTTTAAGCTTTATTTAACAGATATGAGACAAATCTTTTGCACCAATTTAATAAAATGTACATTTAATAAAATGGATCTTTTATATTTAATATCAAACTTAATAGAAAAGCGACAATACTTTTGCATCAATGTAATATAATCGTATCTTATCAAAATCGCATTTGGTTTCGCGTGAATCAGAGTCGGACGGCCGGATTTAACGCTAAATCTATACAACGAGAATATAATGGGTCATTTTAGTCACGCTATAGGAAAAATTATTATGATTTATTTACACCCAATACGTAATCTATGCGGGCATTCTCTTTCGTGCCGTTTCTTGCGATGCGAAATCTCGTGAGACACGAACAATGAGCACCGGATTTATGGACCGAGCGAAACGAGACAAAAGATTCACCGGAACCGCCACGTGCGTCCGGCACTTCCTGCGCCTTGTGGTCCCAGTTATCATCTCCGGAATGCCGTGGGTGATCTTAATTCACGCGGAGCGAGGCGTGGATAATCTGAGGACGATGGAGAGCCGTCTCCTTTCCGTTGCCGGAAAATCCGTGACGAATGCAATCACCGTATTACAAAAAGCCGCCCTTCTTCCCGGGGCGGATGCGGCTCGCGCCCTTCTTTGCCGCTGATGATGAATTAGTAAATATATCTTGTACAGTACAACCCAAACAGGCAGGATCCAATATACAATGATCTCATTGTTTTCTTAAATAATTTACAATTTTTTATTATTCCCGAATATCAAACTTAGAAATAGGAAAGATAATAAAGATGCGCAAATGTCAATTCAATATCCAATTCAACGAGAAGAAATATCTATATTCCGTATTCATCAAAAATCTCGTGGCACAATCGAGAAATCATAAAACGTCTTATTAAAAGCGCTCTTCGAACGGTAGCGCTAACTCGCGAAACGACATGTAGCAAAAATTAGCATTAGCACTTCTCGGGCGACGGAAAAAGAAAACGGCAACAGGACCGCGTGAATGGGTTCTGTCGTAACGGTATTAGCGCGGCGAACAGTCTGTCGAACAGGGCATCGTAAAACACGCGTGTTCATTCGGTTTCGAGAACAGGTTCGGAACGACCGAGAGTCGTCGGGATGGCGAGACGCGCCCTATCTCTCCAAGAGGCCTCCTCCCATTCTCGCCTCGTGCACGTAATTACCGGTGCGCTCGCATAAATAAACCTGGCTATCCGGCTACGACGTGGATAACCAAGATCGAGAGAATTGGGAAGAAATTCGTCGCGTGTGGCTAGGCATCACGTCGCCTAGGGACAACAAGAAAGGAATAGGATAAGGAAATTTTATTAGCACCCGATATGGTCCGACGCCTCCGGCTAACACTACGAGAAAAAGATCCGAACAGAAACGATAGATCTTCACGGAGATGTTTTTTTCTTTTTTTCTATCTTTCTTTTGAGTAGTGGTCGAATCAAGCTCCGAAAAGATTAACGAATTAGGAACTAATGTTGTATTATTATGTTAAATTATTATTGTTTAAAATTGTTTCTTAATTGAACATTGAACCAATTTTCTCTAAAATGAAACAAACATTTTATGGCTCATATTTCACGTTTATGAAAAATACAAGAAGCATAAAAGGAAAGCCAGGTTTGCATTGCTGAAGCAAAATTGGCTGTCACAACTATTCGAGCCAGTTTTTCATAGATCGTTAGCGACCAGGAAGGATTGCTAACAACTTTTACAAAAAAAGTGCAAGTTATAATATAAAATAATATATGGAAAAGATCTTTGCCGATACTATCTCGAAATAACCGTCGGAACACTTCGATTACGACTGGGAGATGAGTATAAGCGGGCTAAAAAGGAAGTCGCGAGTCAGCAGTGACCTGGGCGTCTCGTAAAAGCCGCGGTTATGGCGGTGTTAATGGTTTTTCGTCGCACTTTTACAGGCCGCCAGCCCATAACCAGGACTACAGGCTAGGAAAGTGCGTGCGATAAAATCGCCCGAGCTCGCTATTAGCCGACGCATTTTCGCGAAGCGAAATTACGTGCTATTTCCGTAAGAAAAGTCGTAGAAGATACATCAATCCTCGAAATCTACTTCTGGCGGGTTAATCGAAGTCAAGGACCAATTTTCGACTAAATTTGCCCCCCCCCCCTCCCTTTCTGTCTCTTTCAATACAGTTACATACATTGCAAATGGAGTAAGAATTTGCATATTGCAAGAGCAACAACTTATTACAAAGATGACCACTGTGGTCAGGAAAGAAAGGAGGTTCTCCAGCCCGCGGCTACCGAAAAAAGAAGTCGCCTGATCCTTACGTCGTATCTCTCCCTTTACGCCCACCCTTTACACTTTACGAAGCGGCCATACCGCTTTTCTGCCTGCCAAGTTGTCCTCGTTTTTTTTTCTCGTTGAGAATCAAGAGAGGTCAAGAGGAACATCTTCGCTCCATTAACGCGAAGGCTAAACTCTGCTTTTCAATCGTTCGTTAACTCAAAAGATTATTTGGATCTAGAAATTTGAAGTAAAAACGATTCCTGATGTTTTTGACAAGAAATAACCGTTCGCTGTCCATACGTTCGTTATACTTTCAACGGTGTAGTTAACGCGATAATCGACAGCGTTTGCACAAAAAGCGAACTCGTCACGTTCTTCGCTCGTTGCTCCTTCGTTAATGGACGGTAGTCGCACGAAGAAAGATCGTTTCGCTCAGTAGGACTTGATAAATATCCCTGTTCGTGCACTGCCGGCCACGTTAAAATGCAATTCGAAGTGCTTTTCTTTACGCGACACTTACGCTCGATATCGCGATCATATCGAAACTAAAATATATTGTGCGCTTATATATCACGCGAGTTTTTAACGAACCAACATTAACCTGATTTACGAGCTCGAACGAGTTTCATTCTGAAAACATAGTCGCTTTAAAGAGAATGACATCCCTTTCGCATTTCTTATTTTGATAAAGCTGGATAAATTTAAAAAAAATCGTATCTCCTGAATGTACGTCGTCATCGAAAAATCATGCGTCTCACACATTTTTTTATTTAAAACTCAAAAGAAACAAAACATCCTGTTTTTGTGGGATGACCAGACCGGACATTATTTTGCATGAAAATAACGCGTCTGACCTGCCGATCGTGCCGAGGCTGCCCTTCTTCTTATCCGGTAGACAGTAATCCGGACTTTTGGTAGTATAGAGCAGATTATCGTGGTGATACAGGGGCGGCAGTCTACCGCCGGATCTCGGCCTGACCTCGGCCGCGGTGGCGTATCTGCGTAGCAAACGACTTCCGGCGGCGGATGGTCCCGATGCACCCAGGCCGCGCCAGCAGGTACGCACGCTGCAGGAACCCGAGACCCCATGGCACTTGCACTCCAAAGTTAAGGATTGCTCGACCGCCTGTCGTACGAAGCATTAATCGCGATTACATCATGGTTCTTTTCAAAAATCAAGTGTCAAGAACGCTAATAGATAAAATCCTATTCCTCGGCTAGATTCATTCTTTTATTTAGAAAAAAATCTTGACTTGAAGTATTCCTCTCAGGACGTTTACTGATAGAGCTCCACAAACAATGAAAAAATATTTTACAATAAAAACAGTTATGAAAACAGCTAATATTTTAACTGAAATTTGAACTTTTTGTACGTTTAACGCTCTTCTTACTTATCAATCGCGGCATATACGTATCGCAAACACTCACCCTCCGACCCGCCCTGTTGTTGTGCATATTGACTGCGTGCATGAACTTGGCAGTTCCTCCGGTACCGGGCGGCGATGCGCCCTGAAGAAACCGCTTCGCCATCCTCGAAGCTGATCTCACGTCGTCCCCACAGCCGCCCCACTTGAAGGAGTTCCTCGCGGACAGCGTGTCGAAAGAGACGGACATGGTGGTGAAGGATGAGGGCGAGATAAGCGCGGACGGCGAGGGTGGTTCTCTTCGTGGTGGAGTCGCGCAGGAACAAGCCGCCAAGTTTCCCAAAGCGCACCCTCGTGCGAGTCGCCAAACCGCGGCGGCGGCCGACATTGCGTAAACGAAGGCTTGTTCTCTTGTTCCTATATGATAAATGCGCTCGTTAAAACGCGGAAATAGAAACACAAGTGAGAAAGTTTCTATTGCAACTTAAATCGATAGAGAAAATGAAGTCATATATATACGTTAGCACTGCATTAAAACACTAAACACATATCTAATATCTTCACATATATATTGATTAATAAAAGCAATTTTCAAAATTGCTTTTATAATCGTTAATTAATACAATTTAATTAGTACAAATTTTTTTAAGTTTAAGCCGCGTTAATTAAATTGCCAAATATATCTGATATTGTACCGATGTCAAATCAGATATTGTGATCTTCTTGAGTTAAATACCATACAGTTCTTTCTTTCTCCGATCGAGATGACTGAGGAAAAGCTGATTATCGTATGTACTTTCGAGAACGGAAAATACAACGTGGAACGTTACGTTCGTGGTCGTATGATGTATCTCTTATTGGCGCTTCTCGGTTTTCTCATTAACGGAGGATATCTCGATCTCTCGGGTGCACTTTTATTTACAATATAATCATCGTGAAACGCGAGCGATTAATCTAACGGAGGCTGGTCGCGAAGAGGGAGGACGAAGACCGTGGGGAGCTACGGTTTGTTAATGATCGCTAATTGAGGCGCGCCTGCCAGGTCTTCCTATTTACGTCGGAATTCCTCAAAGGATATTCGATACATTTTCCATCGAAACCCTCATCGACCTTCGCAACCCTTCGTCGCGCAAAATCACCGATTATAAATCTATTACGAGCAAAGT